ATCGATGTCTTATACGAATTTTCTCCATACAAAATTCGTATAAGCCATCGATGCCTCGCTCGATGACTCGGACAAAATGGTCATCGAGAGCGACATGCATGTCAAATCCTAGAATGCCATACAAAACTTTATATGAAGTGACATCAGTGCGACACCAGGTGCTACGGACACTGGCATCGGTGGGTCGTCGTCCATGTCATCGACGACAAGCCACTTTTGGAACTGCAGGGTATTTATGCGAACGTTATTGTAGTTTATTTTTGTTTGTATTCGAGAGTCAGTCACTTGATGCCGTCGCTTCGGGGAATTTTATTGTTACTAAAATTGGTCTTATTGGGTGGATTTCGTTTGGGAACTTTTCAAAGAGGTAAAGAAATATGTTTAGGTTTACTTTTTGAAGCTGATTTTAAGTCTATAAAATGTATAAATATATTTTAAATGAATCATAAAAAATGAAATATTAATATTAATCATTAAAATGTCGACAAAATGTTTTACGATATTGAAAGCAAAAATATTTGAGTTTAAAAATATTTTAAATTATTTTTTGTTTATAAAATAAATTTATTTCTTTAAAGATTAAACCAACTGAAACACAAATTTAAAATACACATGCTTTTATGCTGCCTTTTTAACCCATTTGGAATTCGTAATTAAATTTCATAAATACGAAAAAAGAAGCCAATTTCCATAGGGGTTCCATTCCACACATTTGATCAATTATTCATTAAAATGCACTTTGGACTCGGGTTTATGGGCATTTCCTATTTACACTTATCGTGTTGTTTTTCGGTATTCATTTTTCATGTTGTTCTTGCTGTTTTCGTTGTTGTTCTTGCTGCCGCTTATTTACCAGCTTTCCATGCTTTTCTGCACAAGTGAGCAATTATTTGTGCAACATAATTAAAATTTTATTAATTCATAAACAAATGCGCAGAGAGCGTACACAAAACTGGGGAGCGAAAAGGTGCAGAAAGTGCCGAGGAGGCAGGAAGAAGGACTCCATGCTGCAGTTGCCTTTCAGCACTTCATCAACGCCAAATGTTGATGTTGCTGTTGTTGTTGTTGTTGCATTTGCAACTGCTGCTGCTGCTGCATCATTCATAAAAAATGCCATAAATGCAGACAGAGCAACAACAACAACAACAACAACATCAGTGGCACGTAGAGTAGCCACCTCGGCTCTTCAGGTGCGAATTTCACACTCAACCCTTCTGAATTTTCCCACCCCCTTTTTGCCACCCACCACCTCGTCACCTTGTCAATTTTACATGTAGAGCACGTGTCGCCTGCTCGGTGCTCAGATGTTTTGCTCTTGCACTGGGAATTTTCTTCCTCAACTCTAATTAAAGACCTCTTCAGAAAACCTCCTCCTTGAACCTGCCTGCAAAAACAAGAACAACACACAAAAAATGAGTAACTGCCATCAACATAAACTTTTAATTTGATACTACACGAAAACTCCAGGAAAAAGCTGAAAAAAATACAAGAAAAATAAAAAGCAGAATAATAAATTAAAAAACTGTGGCTCTTTTTCTATCTTTCACGGTTGCAACACCTGTCGAATTGTGGACATCAGCATAAAATAGAATCCAAATAAAACAGAGCCGGAGGGAATATATATAAATATGTTAAATATAAAGCTCACCAGCAGACACTGAGGAAACCCAGCAAAAAAATAAGCGAACACGGCAAATACGAAGTAGAAGTAATGCATACAATATTAAACAAACAGCACAACGAACAAAATATTAACAAAATATAACTCTCGAAAATAGGTGAGGAATAAAATAACAAGATCAAAACAAAGCCATGTGTGCTGAAACTCAGACAAATAAGAATTTAAGCAAATAGAAAGAGATTCAATATTTACCAGAAGCCAAGTGGAAACTTCTGTCAGCGAAATTTGAAACGCATTTTTGAAACAATTGTAAAAATAAATAAAATGCAACAAAATCATAAAGATATTTGAAATGAAGTGTTTATTTACTGACCAAAAATTGTATTAAATAAAAATAATAGATTACTAGCTATGGAAGAGTTTTTTCTTTATTTCTAAATTATTTCAGCCCAATTTTATACGCATATCAGATAATTTTGTATTAATAAATAAAATACAATGAAATCATTTACATATGTACATATCTAAATAAAATATGGTTTCATAAAAACGGATTTATATATAAGAGAACTAAGGCTTTTTTTGTACTTCCTATTTTCTGTATTTAACAAACTGTATTCCTTTACCAAATTCAAATGCAATATACTCCCAATAAAAAAGTCCGTTCAATGTTTTCCGCAAACAAATCCAAGGCAAAGGCCCTGACAAACAAACAAACAATCAAAAAATAGAAGCACAATCATATTTTCGCATGAAGTTTGGCCAAAACGCCTTCGTTTTGGGTTCCCAACTTTGATTTTAATTTCTTGTTGGCCTAGCGTGGCCAAATGAAGAGGGCTTTTGGGTTTTTATTTTATTTTTTTTTCTTGAGGGGGTCAAAAAGCAGAATGGGGGAGGGGGAATTGGGGGGATCGTCTGCACACTGAGATTTATGGCGTCAGGTTGGCAACTACTGGTTTTGATTTTTATTTTTAGAGTTTGCCTTACGTGGCTTCATCGCCGGCTCTTTAATTGCTTTTTTCAAATTCACTTTTTGGCTGCTTTACTTTTTTTGTTCTTTTTTCCATCTATTTATACATTACTCACCTTGGGTAAAAGTGAGCAAAAACAAAAAAAAAAAAAAAAGCCAAATTTGGCTGAGATCTAAGCAAATTTTGAGGAAAACTCGTCAGAGGATCAGTTCAGGTTGCTGGGTGGTCATCAGGTGTCAAACGTTGCGGTTCATCATTATTTTGAGTCATTTTGTATCTAAGTATCTAATTGTTAGACACATTACAAAAAAGCCAACGTAGACATAAAGAAAATGGCAAGTTTTAAGTTTTTAAACAGTCAGCAATTAAAGTGGCTCTTTGGCAATGGTTTCTGTTGTTGTTGTTGTTGTTGTTGGGCCATTATGTGCATAAAATTATCAACAACATTAGGAGGGCCAAAAACAGCCAACACACTAAATGTACAATTGTCATGCATAATTACGGCTCGAAAAAATCCATGGAAAATCTCAACTGCTGACAAAAAAGAGTTAACGGCGAAAGCTTAGAAGGGTTTTCAAAGGGGAGAATCTTAAGTTGGCTAGGCCGATTCTTGGCGGGAATATACATAGCTTAAGTTCTAGAACGTTGGAGCTAGGGAATGGGCAAAAAAAAGTCTTATAATGATGTCATTGGCAAGGGCAGTTAGCTCCATTTTCTGTACAGATTTGGCAGCGTATTTAACTTATTAAATGGTATATGGCATATGTTAAAAAACGTTAGATAAAATGTTAGATAAACTACATGTTTTATGGCCTTAAAAGCTTTAATACACATTAAACTAACTTTAATATATAACCTTCTTTTTGGTTTACTATGTTTTTACCCTACCAGCTTTAATCTGTTTAATAAGAAAGATAATCCTAATATATTTGCTATATATTATATAAGGAATGAAGACGAAAACCATACTCTCTAAACATCTTATTTAGTCAAGTTAAGGCAATAAAATGCAACTTATTAAAACAAACTCGAGCACAAAAAATCCAAAACAAATTGCCATAAAAAGTAGCTAAATAGCTGCAATATATATAACGCTCGTTCTGTGCAGATATACGTAGTCCCATAGCTATCTATATAGGTATTTGTGTAGGAACAGCTCTCTAGCTGCTATTGCTATTGAAATTGAAGGCAACAACGTCGTAGACGACGTTCCGCGGAGAGCTTTTCCATCTTTTTTACTGTTTATTTTTGTGCTTAATTTTGTTTTGCGTTTTGCCCCGGCTACAAAGCTACAACTGAGAAGCCAAGATTGGCTCTTCCGCACGCTCTCTTATCAACTTTTGGCCTCTTCTTTGTGGCGAGCCCCAAACACAACATGTGTTTCGTCATCAAAATGTTGTGTTGTTGCTTTGTTTTTATTTCTTTTCTTGAAATACTTTTTTTTAATTAAAATAAATACATTTTTAGAGCATTAGAATACAATTTTAAGATTACAACTGGATAATCCTCAAATTGTTTGCCTCTCCGTAAAAGAAAAAGTAACAGTAATAGATTATTTAAACCAATTATAATAAAACCATATATGTATTATATGATACGTTTTTCTAAAAATGATTTTTTTACCATATAATTATAACTTATAATTTTTAACTTAATAATTATAAATTTTAACGAAAGATTTTCAAAATTTAAACAAAAAACATGTTTAGCATGCCGTATAAAAAACAAAAGATTTCTCCCTATAAAGTTTTTTTAAATTTAACTCGGTTGTAACAAAAAAAAAATATTTTATTACTTTATTACTTGCTCCGATAACGCATTTAATTAAAAATGTCATTAACTAAAAACCGCCAAAAATTTCTTTTTCTTATTGGAAAAATGTTGGTAAACAGATATATGTACATACAGACTACAACAATTTTCTTAAAGTAACAACTGCGTCTCGTAATTTCAAAATCTCCTCAAACTTTGTTTTCAAATATTCGAAAACTGGGTTCGTTATTGCTTTTGTTTTCGCCAAGCCGCCATTAAAAAACAAAGTTTCTTTTGCCCCCGAACACTGGGTTTGTTTTTGTATTTGTTTGTGTTTTGCGAGTGGTGGGGAGCCCAAGCGAAAATGCCGGCACTTGGGAGAGTCGCGAAGAGCGGCGAAGGTCCAACCAGCTGTCCCGTTCTAATGGGGCCGCCCCCCAGCGGCAGAGCGAAGGGGAAAGCAATAGGCCAGTGCGGCCGTCTCCCACTCCCACACTTGACACAGCGCAAAGAGCGGGCGAAGAGAGCGCTAAGAGAGGGCCGAGCACGTCACACAGCTGGTGGATACGCGTATCGGTGAGATGCACTTCAGTGCGAGTCGTGTGTTTCGGTTCGATTTCGTATCTCAGTTCGTATTCGTATCTCAGCCCGCTTTCGTATCTCAGTTCGAGTTTGTATTTCGTTTGGTGAGGTCCACTGTGCGCCACTGCTCGCAACAGTCCGCTTTTGTCCACTGTCGACGTGTCTCTCTCTGGCTCTCTTCGCCGTGCGTGTCCGTCCCGACTTTATTTACCTTTCATCTGGCGTTTTTCACAAAGAATAAAGATCAACTCAAAGTTATGGCCGTATCTTGCGGATGCAAAAGTGCGTAGAAAACGTAGAAAACGCAGCTAAACGAAGAGGAAAAGTTGGCGCAGCCCAAAAAGAAGAAAGAAAAAAGCAAAGCAAAGTGCGCGTGTGTGTTTACGTGTGCGTGCGTGTGTGTGAGTGCGTGTCTTTTTCGTCGCTCCTTTGCAAAAAAAAAATCGTATCTTTCAGATACACGACAATTACTTGAGACAAGAGCAACAGAAATCTAATAATCAGCTTAGGTTCTATTTTGTTGTAACAATTAGGGTTTTAAAGAAATTTTCCTAGTTTCGTTGCGGAATTTTTGTGTGGCGTTCCACTGCCCAAAACGTCCCCCGCTCTTTCTTTTTGGCTCTCGAGTTCTCGCTCTCTTCATTTGGCTCTCTCGTGTCGCTTTGCCGCTTTCGGGTTTCATAATTTTGTCGCTTTTGGCTTGCGTATCTTTATTTATATTTTGTTTCGGTTCCATTGCGTTTCGCTCAGTGTGAATTTTAATTGCCCACTTTTTGGAAAATTCAAAATACAAATTTCGAATTCTTCACCGCCACCTCCCCCAAAAACAAAAACAAAGCACACGCAATATTAATAGTTTTACATTCTTCTCGCCCAAACAGTTTCTCTGACAAAATACTATATGATTTTACCCAAAGATCTTGGTGTATATAGTTTGTGCAAAATAAATACAAATAAAAACCATAAATAAATTCAAGCTAGCCTTGGCGAAATAATTGAAAAATATTTTTAAAAAATACATAAAAAAAAAGAAGAGATAAAAACCAAATCGATATAGAGATATATATATTTATACACACAACGGTTTCACTTTGCGAGTTGTATACAAAGTAATAAAGAAATATAAAAAATATAAAACAAAAGCGATTTACAGTTAATCACGCAAATTGATCAGTTGTCTGCCTCACGGTCTTTAAAAACCTCTCAAAATAAAATAAATACCACGAATAAAAAGTGCAAATCAATGTGCAAAATCAAATGATATATTCAATAATTATCACTTATAATGCCCCCTAACAAACTAAGCAAACATGGATTAACGCATTTATTGTAGATTTTATTATCTATGGGATTATATTCGAAGTCAGCGAAAGGTTTGAATGACTGAATGCAACGTAAATTAATAACTGAAAGGTATGAACGAATCTCAAAAATAAATTTAAGATTTAGAATAAGAAATAAAATTAAAAGGTAAAAAAAAATTTAAGTTTTTATAGTAATATATATAGATAAACAAATTAAAGTGAAGGATTCCTCTGTATTTACTGAATAAATTGGATGTAGAATAACTTTCAGATAAAGTATCTTTTAATCTTGTGTTTAATGACTCCTGAAAATCTTTTAAAATGGAAATAATCGTGTTTAGCCACGTAAATCGATCTGAAACTCCTTATAAATATCATTGCTTCTTTGCTGACTCATCAGTGCGATTATTTCTTCGGATTGGTCATCCATCGCCATTTGAATTTCCCAACATTTCGTCATGACGGCCTTTTGCAAGCGAGTTATCAGAAGTTCGGTTCGAACAGCTCGAAATGATGGCTGGTGGAAATCATAATCTGAGAACTCGGAGGTGTAGAACTGCAGGCAGTTCGTCTGAGAGGCCTTTGGTTACATAAGAAAACGTGAGTCGAGTCGCTCGGTTCGGTTCAGTTAGAATTCTTTTGCTAATACACGAGCAAACATTGTAAACTGCCTCGGTGTTTCGTTTTCTTATTTTTTTATATTTTTTTTGGTGTTTGTCATTCTCGGGCGGTGCGATCTCTCGGCGGCAAACAAAACCCCAAAACTCTACGTAAACCCAAAAAAAAAACCGAGAACCCAGAAGAAATATCACTGGGGAGCAGTGAGAGAAAACCGAATGAAAATCGGCTCACACGAATCGGAAAGGTTTCTTTTCTAATTTTTTTTTATTCGTTTGTTCTCGTTCCCTCTCGCTCTTCGTATCTCACAGATACATTTGTCAAAAAAAAGACGAAGCGTGTATGCGCCTGCTGCTGGTTTTTTATCAGCGCTAAAAGCAGCGAGTTTTGCATATGATATTGAAATATTTATTTTGAGAACATTTTATTTATACCGTCAATGAAAATGCTCAGCTATTTTTACTAATCACTCTCTTACATTTTAGAAGAGCGAGGAGCTCTTAGAACATTTTGCGACGTATTTCGGTTTGATTTAATTAGTTTATTGTTGCTAGACTTGGTGTTTTTTTTTTTTTTTTTGTGTTCAGCTATTAACTGGCTGTCGGCAATTTGGTTTTTTTTTTTTTTTTTGTATTTTTCGGACAGGTTAAACCAGTTTTCCTGTTTGGCGGTTCTACACAAAAATTACTAAAAACCAACAAAAAGCAGCGAACACCTCAAACATGCCACATTATTTCATAGTTTTGTTGGTTTGGTTCGTTCTTTTGGTTTTGTTTTTCTGAATTGTTTTTTTCGGCGCCCTAATCGTTGTCGCTCATAATTTAATAAAAGTACGAGGAAGAAACTAACAAAATGCTGCGCTTAGGCTTATCGCCAATGCCCCCACCGCTCACAAAAACCCTCGGAGAACCAAACACACACACGCACACTCACACTCACACTCACACACACACACTTGGGCAGTAAAACGGCGATTAGATAATGGCATTTTAAACGATGTCTCTACTGTACAGTAGAGTCGCGAAACACACACGAGCAGTGACCAACCGACAATGGGAATGGACTTTGTTTTGAAAACTGAAATCCAGCTGATAAGACAGCCCACAGAGACAGGCAAACACTGAGAAGAGTGTCGGAGAAACCCGCGAGAGAAGCGGAGAATTGGTGGGGTGGTGGGGGGAAAACGCACAGAAATCCAACAAATTTTAATAAACGGGGGAGGGGAAATCGCATTTTAAGTAGGGAGAGTGAACACCACCAAAATAGTTTTGGAATTAAATAAAGCAATGTGGAACCTTAAAAACAATGATTCTCCATTTATTTGTAATATAATTATAAAGATTAGAACATATACTATATATGGAAGCAGATTACGACTAATGTGTCTCTAGTATTTATAATTTGGAAGTAAAACCTTCAAGAAAAAGAGCAAATAATTTTAAATGAATTCTTTGTTAATATGAATGAGTTAAAACTATATTTGGGAATTTGGGAGTATTTTTTAAAACATTAATTAATTATTTGTACTTAAATGAAATATAATTAAATCCAAACATATTGAAGTAACTTAGAAACTCAAAAATTGTGTATGTATATTAATTTCATAAATATAAATTTTATATTAATTTATTAGTTTTATTACTGCATATATCGTATTTAACTACTCCTATAAAATAATGAAACTGCTCCTTGGCAGTGGGTTTCTCCTGACCTTGGCCCAAAAGTCCTTGGGAGTTGTCTCCACTTCTCCGATTCTCCCTTTCTCTGGGGGAAAAACTTGGAGTCGCACGTTTTTGGACTTACGTTTGAGCTTCGTTTTCCCTCGCGCCAAAGTCGCTGTGAAGCGTAAATGAATTTGTCCCTTTGAAGTTTTCCATGTTAATTGGGAAATTAAGCTTGACCATCGCGCCAGTTGGATACGTTCTCCCCACTCGAAATCGTCGTCGTGTATATAAGACATCTTCTTTTTTTATTCGACTTGAAGTCGCTGCTGTTGCCTCTTTTTGTTTTTGTTTTTGTTGTTTTGTATGTGTTGCACATGATTCTTGTTGGTCGGGACTACGTTTATAATTACGTTAACTTCAATTACTGCTTACGTACAATATCAGACCAATTTTTGTTGCTTTCCAGGTAAAACTGGTTTCGGTATGCCTCATTTTGTCTTTTTTTTTATATATCTTTTTTTAGTTTTCTGTGTCTGTACGTACCGCTGCACGAGTTTTGCTATAATTTAAATTTCTTTTTGAAGTCGAGCGCAAATGTGTTGAAGGTCTCTTAACTGCTATTTAAATAGTAGTTAAAAAATTGTTGCCATCTTGGAAATTCTTGGGAATCAAACTCATTAATGCTGGTTACGCATAGTTATATGGCTTGAAATAATATTTTGGGGTCTTTCACTACCGTTGTTTCTGTTATTAAAGAAAATATAATAACATTAACTGATCTTACAGCAAATATAGCTTTAAATATTTTTAAAAAATCCTTCATTGATTTAAATGAATTTTAATTTAAATAGATTGTTGAGAAACATGTACATATTTTCTTTCTGTTTTAAGATAATTTATGTATAATGTTGTAATAGCAAATTGATGATATATTAACTATGAAATATATTGCAGTAATAAAATGTAATATTTTAAATAAACAAATATTAATTTGCATAGTTAATTTGAGGGTTTCTTTAGCTAGTTTCTTAACACAAATGGCTAACGATCTTTTCGTATGCAAATATGTAGTTATGAAATCCAACGAAGACTTCGCAGTATCTTCGCATGAAAGTGCGATTGCTGGATGTTTTGATATTTAGTTCTTTATTTCCTCCACACATATCCACTTATCCACATTGTTGTGTTGTTTTTTTTGGATTTTGCTTGCGCTTTTTGTGTGCTTTATTTTGGTTTTGATTTGTTTGTTGTGTTGTTTCGCGGTTGTTGTTGTAGTTGTTGTTGTTGCTCCTCTTGGGGCGTTTGCCGCATTTGAATTTCATTTTTAGATTTCAATTTATTTTCGGCGTAGTTTATGCCAATTTGGTTTTTGGGTGCGATTTCTTTAATATTATGTATGCCATATATTGTTCCACGCTTCCGAGTGTTGGTGGCATTTCTATTCGCGTGTGTTTGTGTGTGCTTCTTCAAACGAATTTGATTTGATACTCATTTTTCTCTGCACCCCGTGTATTTTATTTTGTATAATAGCTTAACCTACCGAACAAAAAAAATAACAAAATCATTTTGCAAAAAATTGCAAGCTCTTGGCGGAATTTTTCAAACCGTACTGTACTTGACCGAAAGAAGCGTGATTATTATGCTCCATATCGCTTTCGCCCAGCGTCTATCTGCGATTTCTTTCTGTCATGTGTCTCGGTTTTTAGTCATAGTCGCGCAAAAAAAAACTGAAATTCAGCGGGAACCGAGATCTCTGTGCGGTTCCTTTTTAAAAGCATATTAACTAATTGACGTCTGTGTTTGTCTATAAGCAAAAAAAAAGGAAAAAAAAACGCTCGTTCGACCCACAAATATTTGACGGACTCTGACATTTGGGACACCCAAAAAGCTGCGCAGGAAGCAGCAAACCAAATGTTTCAACTCATTTGGGAAACCGTTCATTGATGTCTGCACTCTTTTTCTTTTTTCTTGATTTTATTTTTCCTTTTTCTTGTTTCCCAGTTAGTACTCTTGGCTGGGCCAAGCAACTATAATTATCTTAATTAAAAATCTAAAGTCAAAGTTGGCCCAGTCTAAAGTCGGAGTAACCCGACCAAGCAGCCGGCGATTAGCTCATCTGGTTTTCTGGCGAATTGAGCAATCAACGTTGTCTAAATGTTTAGGGAAAAGCTCCGAAAGACAATCTCGGCTTTTTGGCTGGGAGATCTTGGAAACAACTCGGTTTTGTTACCACTCATTACTTGCACATTGCTCTGTTGAAATTTAAATATACGAAATAAATAATTTTCAGCTGGCTTTTTTTGGCCGAAATAATGTTGATGTCATAGGTTCGTCGGCTGGGCGTAAAAAAATCGTTGGTAGGCATTCAGTCCGAAGCTGTGTGTTGTTTTTTCTCTGAGAGTGTGTAAATGTGTGTTAGTGTGTGTTTGCGGCTAATGCAAGCATCCGAAAGGCAGAAAAAAAACAGCAACAACAACCACATTTGAAAACGACTGAGGAATGCCCATTATATTTGCCAAATATTTGCTTTGTCAAAGTATTTTTCTGGTTTGTTTTATGAGTATTAGTTGATTTTGGAGTGATTGAATGGGTCGGGTGGAAGGAGGGTTTGGGGGAGAATTCCCACAACAGTGACTATAAACTATAGTTTTGACTGATTAGGAAGTATGAGTCACAAATCCGAAAGCAGAAACCAAAACTTTGTTCGATGTAACTGAAGATAACTGCGTAATAACGTGTAGACTTATCTAACTGTATAGAAAGTGTGAACGATCTATAATGAGTAAAGCTTGGTTAATTTGTAGAAAACTCAGATTGTATATTCTAA